AAAAAAAAAAAAATTGGCTTTTGTTTGACTTTATTTTACATGGAAATTGTCAATTAAAGGGATATTTTTTATTTTTTATTTTTTTTACATGGAAAACCAAAAACCACCTAAAAGGTGGGAATTGAAATTAAACTAAAACCAAGAAAAGGGTTCGCGTGATGGCAAATATAGAAAACCAATTCTTGAGAAAAAAGTGCCATCAAACATGGCAAAAGTCCATAGAAAAAAGGGTCTATCAAACATGCCCTCAGAGAAAATTTTCTAGTTTGATCATTTGATTGACTAAGTTTGCGGGTCATTTTTTTTTTAATTAAGATTCTCAACTGTTAGGAAAGATTCTTGATATCGTTTTGAATGATTAATGATGTACTTTGTAATGCACGTTTTACTTTGTAAATTTGCTAAATCATGAGGTCGCAATAAGAGTTACAAAGTGGCTACAAGAAATGTGTTCAAAATATGGTTGTCTTATTCTCGAACTATATTTCTCGATCGTTAGGTAGGCATTTGGTTTCGTATCGAAGAAATGACAACCAGCTGCGCAACACATACTTCGAAATGAAAAATCATTAAACTGTGGACTTTAAATAGTTAGTTAAAGACGAATATTTGTTGTATTAGATATGCAAATTCAAGGTAAGGCTCACTGTGACTCATTTTAGTTTTTTCATTTTTCTCGGATCGTCAAAGTCCTTTTAAAAAAAAATTGAAAGTTCCCCAGCGGATTAGTCATGGGTGCATGCACTTGATGATTTTCTACCTCTCTTATATAGTACGAGGAAGCTGAGCAAGAGTAAGAATTAATTTATATGTACAGAGGGTCGGTTCACAGAAGGCTTACCGACCCTTACATGAGGCGGGTCCCGCTTCTGTAACCCAAGCAACACTCCAAGAGTAAAACATCTAATCATACTGCTAATCCGTCAAAGTCTTATGTCATACAAATATTTTCTTGGAGTGTTTATGATTGGTGAAGGGCGCCTAAGCGCTTTAGGTAGTTGCTATCTATTTGATCTTTTCTAAGAAATTAGGTAGGCGACTGAGTCGAAGCGTAGGAGACTTGAAAATTCCTAGGATTATGAGCTAAACCAACTGAAAATGAAAAGCTTTTTTAATTTCTTAAACTTATTGATTTGTGGTTTGTACAAAGAATAGAATATTATAGGTGTGTGAAACTTGTGAGATTATTTTTCTACCATTCTTGAGGGTTTAGGTGAACTAATCCTATGATTATTCAACGGGAATGTGGTTTAGGTGAACTAA